CCGTTGACAGCGCTCCACCATGGACCATCTGATTCGACTTGAAACGTCGATAAGGGAAGCCTTTCTCATGAAAGAACACCTTTTTTCTGTGTTCTTCAATCTCAAGAAGGCTTATGACACCACGTGGAGGTATGGAATTTTGCAGGACCTCCACTCCTATGGGTTGTATGGCCATCTACCCATTTTTATTCAAAACTTTTTACTGAACGGGCGATTCCAAGTCCATGTGCGTTCAACTCTTTCTCATTCCTTTCCACAGAAACTTGGAGTCCCTCACGGCTGTGTCTTGAGTGTTACACTTTTTAATGTTAAGATTAATACTATCACTAATAATCTTCCTCCGACTGATGCAAATGGGCTTTATGTTGATGACTTCCACATCTCGTGTCAGTTGTTGAACACGAGTTAATTGAGTGGCAGCTTCAGACTGCCCTCAATCGGTTGTTGACATGGACCACTGCAAATGGTTTTAAATTTTCTTTTTCCAAAACCGTTTGCATGCATTTTTGCCGCCAACGGGGTCTCCACCCTGATCCTGAGATCCATCTTTGCAATGTAGTTATTCATGTGGTCCCTGAGGCAAAATTCTTGAGGCTTATCTTTGACCTTAAGCTTAGCTTCATTCCACACAACAAGCAGCTACGTGTCAAGTGTGCAAGGGTATTGAACATCCTCCGTGTCCTCTTTTCCACCTCTTGGGGTGCAGATCGATGTTCTATGCTCACTGAGTCCCACGAACCTCCTCTTCACCCCCGTCATTTGCAGTTTTCTTTACAATATGCTGCCAAGCTTCGATCCTTACCACGACATCCCACCTGGGACTGTGTCTTTCTCCCACAATGTGCCATGCTCTTTCGGAACAGACGGTCTGCTATTCCTTCCTTTGGCCTTCGTATCCAGGCGCAACTGGCTGAATTGGGTCTGGCATTGGATGACATTGCTATAGTGCGTAAAAAATTAAAAATACAATCTAATCGGACAGTGTCACCATTACCAATGACACTGTCCAACGTCAAGGGTAAACTCTTAGAAAATATGTGTTTAGAATAATGCCGCCGCTCACGATCGTAACAACGGCATGACAGTAAAATGTGTAGCCATTGTGACTTGAGTGTCACAATGGCTACACATCAGTGGGTCAATACCTGATAAAAGAAAACGATGGGTTAAAAAACTGTGACCAATGCGTAGCCTTGCCAGGACTACTTCCACCTTCTGATCCTTATGGAAGCAAGATGGCCAAAGACCAACAGTAGGCTTAATCTGGAAAAGCTTGTTATGACATTGCTCACCCCAAGTCAACTGCCAACTGGCACGAAGCCATGCCTTAATAACAGGACGTGTGGGACAGGTATGGCCGTGATGGCACCAGAGCAGACGGACTTAGCTGCGGTGTCAGCAAGCTCGTTCCCATGAATACCGACGTGGCCAGGGATCCAGAAAAACTGAATGGAAACAGAAGATAGAGAAAAGTGGGCCAATCAGTGTTGAATATCGACGAGAACAGGGTGAGAACTAATATTAAGCGATTCCAGGGCCAGTAGAGAGCTAAGAGAATCAGTGTAAATAGTACAATTACTGTACTGCATAGCTTCTACATGATCCAGGGCAAGAGAAATAGCATACAACTCAGCAGTGAACACAGAAACTGTAGAAGGGGTCCTGCAAGCAACTACCGAGGCACAGTACACCATGGCAGAACCTACCGAGTCACCCGATTTCGAACCATCCGTGTAAATAGGAAGAGAAGAATGGCTCGAAACATGCTAGGCAAAAAGATGATGATACTTCCAATCGGGAGTATCTACCTTCTTCAGAGAAAGGTCACAGGAAGGGATAGTAATAAGTCATGGTGGAATGGGCTGATCATTGGGGACAGGTCTTTTTTAATTGTATATAAATCTTTTATTGACTTATATTGGTTTTTAACTCACTGTATTTTTACTTTAATTTACTTTCACTGTTTTTACTGGTTGTTTGGCGCAGATAGCCTCGTTGCTTTGCGCCATAAAACACCAAACAACAACATTTCAACACCGAGCATACCAACGTTTAGTAAAGATTGTGAGCACAATGAAATCTTAATTTCAGTGTTATGAATATATATAGCAACAGGTTAAGTAGTTAGCACACAGGATCACCTACAAAAGTTCTAATATTTTCAAAACGAGACCCTATTCGAAAACGTTCCAGTTTTGGGTCTCGTTTTGAAAATATACCAACAGGTGTCACTACAGTGTACGTCGATACTATTTACAAGTAATATTTTAGTATCTTCTCGAAAACGTAAATTATATTACATGTAATAATGAACATGAGAGTACACTTACTTACTCTAAGAGCTGTAACTTGTAATAAAACAACTTATAATCGGTAAGTAAACTCGAAACGAAACTGTTAAATCACAACATTATTTGTCAACTCAATAGTACAGAGTAAACAAATCACTATTATGAACACAAGAGTACACAGTACCCTACCCATCAGTAAACAAATCACAATATTATGAACACCAGAGTACACAGTACCCTACCCATCAGTAAACAAACCACAATATTATGAACAGAGAGTACATAGTACCCTACCCACCAGTAAACAAACCACAATATTATGAAAAGAGAGTACACAGTACCTTACCCACCATTAAACAAACCACAATATTATGAACACGAGAGTACACAATACCTTACCCACCAGTAAACAAACCACAATATTATGAACAGAGAGTACACAGTACCCTAACCACCAGTAAACAAACCACAATATTATGAAGACGAGAATACACAGTACCCTACAGTAACTAAAATTACACGTCTTGAGTAATCCTGGGTACAATAACCAACTACAGTAACTAAAACTACATGTTTTGAGTAATCCTTGGTACACTAGCCAACTACAGTAACTGAAACTACATGTTTTGAGTAATCCTTGGTACACTAACCAACTACAGTAACTAAAACTACACGTCTTGAGTAATCCTTGGTACACTAACCAACTACAGTAACTAAAACTACACGTCTTGAGTAATCCTTGGTACACTAACCAACTACAGTAACTAAAACTACACGTCTTGAGTAATCCTTGGTACACTAACCAACTGCAGTAACTAAAACTACACGTTTTTAGTAATCTTTGGTACACTAACCAACTACAGTAACTAAAACTACACGTTTTTAGTAATCCTTGGTACACTAACCAACTACAGTAACTAAAACTGCACGTTTTTAGTAATCTTTGGTACACTAACCAACTACAGTAACTAAAAATACACGTTTTTAGTAATCCTTGGTACACTAACCAACTACAGTAACTAAAAGTACATGTTTTGAGTAATCCTTGGTACACTAACCAACTACAGTAACTAAAACTACACGTTTTTAATAATCCTTGGTACAGTAACTAAAAGTACATGTTTTGAGTAATCCTTGGTACACTAACCAACTACAGTAACTAAAAGTACATGTTTTGAGTAATCCTTGGTACAGTAACCAACTACAGTAACTAAAACTACATGTTTTGAGTAATCCTTGGTACACTAACCAACTACAGTAACTAAAACTACACGTTTTTAGTAATCTTTGGTACACTAACCAACTACAGTAACTAAAACTACACGTTTTTAGTAATCTTTGGTACACTAACCAACTACAGTAACTAAAAGTACATGTTTTTAGTAATCTTTGGTACACTAACCAACTACAGTAACTAAAAGTACACGTCTTGAGTAATCCTTGGTACAGTAACTAAAACTACACGTTTTGAGTAATCCTTGGTACACTAACCAACTACAGTAACTAAAACTACAATGTCTTGAAGATTCCTTTGTATTTAGGAATTTTGGTGGGGAAGAGACAAAACGTTTCCTAGGCTCAGTATTGTTCAGTTCCATGTTTAAGGAAACCTCCAGTAACACAAGTCTTCATCTCAACTGCTGAAAGTTCAGAAGGATCAATATATGAAAACACACAGACCCACCCCAGCAAGTGACAAACTGTTGAAAGTCCAGAAGGATCAATATATGAAAACACACAGATCCACCCCAACAGGCGACAGAATCATAGAAGCAAAAATTAGGTGTCATTCAATAGTCAAATAATCAACACTAACATTTTATATTTTAGAAAATATTTTATTTCAATGATTGTACTTTCTGATACTAGGTAGAAATAATTACATACAATCAGCTTTATCCAGTCAATTAGTAGCTTTTATAAAAATACTAAATAAACCCAAGATCACGTGGGGTCAGAGTACTGAAGAAATTAACATTGAACGAAATTACGATCAATATCAACAGTCTGAGAAACTAGGGCCAGAAAAACAACATTATGCATGGAACAGTTTTTAATAATTTTTTCCTGAAGTTAATTTAACATCTAGTAAGAAATAAATCACATATGACCCAAAACAACTCGGACAAAGGTGTTTCAAGACAAATTAAACAAACATATTCAAATCCAGAGGTATAGCAACCACACCTGCAGTCCTCGTGATGCAGGGGGTATAGAGCTATAATAAATCGAATATAAAAGGGGCCTGATGGGAAAAATCACAGGGTAGCCCACACATTTTGCAGTATGCCTCTGTTCAAAACAAATCAGACTAAAGGTCTCTTAACTTTTGGTTCCAAAGACACATGCTGTAGTTGAAAGAAACATAAATTTTAAAACATGCTTTATATATACAGAGAATTTGGGACAGAAAAAAATCAACTACACACAGTGCCTTGCAAAAGCAAGTGATCCCGTGGAAAGTTTCCACTTTTTGTTGCTATCTGAGCTTCGAATCATGAAACTTTCTAATCTACACACGATCCACTTCAAAGTGAGAAAGCTAAAAAACACTGATATTATGTAAGTAAGTTAGACTTTCAAAACAAATTAGAATATTCTCAAATGCATAAGTATTCAAACCCTTTGCTACGGCAATCCTAAATCAGTTCAGTTGCAAAAAATTAGCTTGAGAGGTCACAAAATTATGTAATGGTCTCTGTCTATGTGTATTCAAATTTTATCTTGGCTTCAGAGTATATGCATCTATTCAAGCCACAACTGACATAGTGATACAAACCAACCAAGGAGTTTTCCAAACAAGCCAGGGATAAAGTGGTAGAGAAGCACAGATCAGAAGAAGATTACAAGAAAAATTAAGAGTCGCTAATTATCCATTTGAGTACAGTGAAGCCCATCATTAAGAAGTGGAATGTGCTTCATACTCGCCCAGTCACTACCCAGATCAGGCTGTCCTTCCAAACTAAACAGTTGGGCAAGCAGGAAACTGATTAGGGATGTCACTGTGAAGCCAACAGTGACTTTGAAAGATTTGCAAAGTTCCATGTCTGAGATGGGAGTCTGTGTTCATACGTGATCAATATTCTGGTCTCTACACAAAGCTGGCATGTTATGGGGATGCTTCTCATCAGTAGTGACTGGAAAGCTTGTCAGGATTGAGAGAAAGATGGATGGTGCAAAGTACAGGTGATTCGTAGAGGAAAACCTGCTTGAGTCAGTGGAAAATCCACATTTCAGCAGGACCATGACCCAAAGCACAAGGCTGGAGTGGTTTCAAAAGAAGAAAGTGAATATCCTGGAGTGGCCATGTCATATTCCTGACTTGAATCCTGTAAAACATTTATGGTGAGACTTGAAGATTGCAGTCTATCAAAGATCCCCAATGAACTTATCAGAATTGGAGCAATTTTCCTAAGAGGAATAGGCAAAAATTACACCATCCCATTGTAGAAAGCTGGTAGAGACCTATCAAAACATCTCACAGCATAATTGCTGCCAAAGGTGATTCCACCAAGTACTGACTTAGGGGCTGAATACTTATGTAATCAGCAAATTTCAATTTATATATTTTCTTTGCAGGTTTTGCTGACATTCAACCTCCTTCACACACACACACACACAGTGTCAAGTTTGATCAGCCGACATTCAACCTCCTTCACACACAACAGTGTCAAGTTTGATCAGTCAACATTCAACCTCCTTCACACACACACACAGTGTCAAGTTTGATCAGCTGACATTCAACCTCCTTCACACACAACAGTGTCAAGTTTGATCAGCCAACATTCAACCTCCTTCACACACACACACAGTGTCAAGTTTGGTCAGCCGACATTCAACCTCCTTCACACACACAACAGTGTCAATTTTAATCAGCTGACATTCAACCTCCTTCACACACAACAGTGTCAAGTTTGATAATTAGAGTTTTGAATAAAAACAACTTCATTAACAAAAATTGTATACATTATTTGTGACATTATTGGTAGAGGGTGAATACTTTTGCAAGACACTGTATAAGATATGATGAAAAAGATCACAACATTTACAAACATTACATTCTGTGATGTATCAGAGAAGATTTACATAAAAACTAAATGCAGACATCAATAGTCCTGGCTCATTAGCATGTAAGGCTATACTACAAACCTAGACTAAAACTCGGGTTTCCCACTCTCTGTTGGGTTGACATGATATCACTTGGAGGTAAAAGGTAAAAAGCTGGGGGTGAAGAGTCAGTAAATGGAGGTGATGAACTTATATAAAATTTAGCATCTTCCTCGTTCTCTTCCAAATATTGTGGTTGATTTATCTCCACACTCAAATTCATCTGATGCATCACCAGACGCTTCACAGCATTTGCACTTTCAGCAAATACTGCTAGATCTTTAGCACTGTTATTTCTGGAAAAAAGACATGTTTATTCTAAGCCAACTGTAATGGAAAAGTATATCTTTCATTAGAAAAATCAAAACAGATTTTAGAATGAAAAATACAGCACATCACACTAAAACACGATAAATTATACATAAAAATAAAACAAGAATGTTGTTCCATTATTATTATTACATCTTATTAAGGTCATACTTTCTAAAGACTCTAGTTCCTTATATTAACATTGTTGTTCCATTATTATTACATCTTATTAAGTTCATACTTTCTAAAGACTAGTTCCTCATATTAACATTGTTGTTCCATTATTATTATTACATCTTATTAAGTTCATACTTTCTAAAGACTCTAGTTCCTCATATTAACATTGTTGTTCCATTATTATTACATCTTATTAAGGTCATACTTTCTAAAGACTTTAGTTCCTCATATTAACATTGTTGTTCCATTATTATTATTACATGACTTATCAAGGTCATACTTTCTAAAGACTCTAGTTCCTTATATTAACATTGTCGTTCCATTATTATTATTACATGACTTATCAAGGTCATACTTTCTAAAGACTCTAGTTCCTTATATTAACAATGTTGTTCCATTATTATTATTACATCTTATTAAGGTCATACTTTCTAAAGACTCTAGTTCCTCATATTAACATTGTTGTTCCATTATTATTACATCTTATTAAGGTCATACTTTCTAAAGACTTTAGTTCCTCATATTAACATTGTTGTTCCACTTTATTAAATGTCTTATCAAGGTCATATTTTCTCAAGATGCTAGTTCTTCATCCTAACATTTGTTCCTGTCATAATTATACAGGTCTTAATAAGAACATACTTTCTCAAGATGCTAGTTCTTGTTCAACATATATTGAATTATTGAATATATAATATATATTATACATATATATTGTTCTTGTTCTGTATAGCGTTCTAGTTCAAGATGCTAGTTCTTCATCCTAACATTTGTTCCTGTTATAATTATACAGGTCTTATTAAAAACATACTTTCTCAAGACACTCGGTGTTTCTAATGGTTTTATGGATCCTCCAAGTACAACCCATGGATGCTGTAAAACCATATCTGCTGTATAGCGTTGATTAGCATCTTTCACCAACAAATGAGAAATTAGATCTTTAGCTTCTTGAGATACATACGCCCATTCCTTTTCAGGAAAGTCATAACACCCATCTTGAATACAAGAAAACAGCATGTCCTAGATCAGACAAAAAAAAGTGTAATCCTTAAACTGTTAAAGTTTTAAAAATAATAATATTACAGTACATACACTGTATATAGAGGTAGACCTTAGCTTACAGTGTTACAGTACACGTAGTGAGACTTAAAACAGACCTTAGCTTACAGTGTTACAGTACATGTAGTGAAACAAAAGACATACCTTAGATTACAGTGTTACAGTACACATACTGAGACTAAAAACTGACCTTAGCTACAGTGTTACAGTACACATACTGAGACTAAAAACAGACCTTAGCTTACAGTGTTACAGTACACGTAGTGAGACTTAAAACAGACCTTAGCTTACAGTGTTACAGTACATGTAGTGAAACAAAAGACAGACCTTAGATTACAGTGTTACAGCACATGTAGTGAAACAAAAGACAGACCTTAGATTACAGTGTTACAGTACACGTAGTGAAACAAAAGACAGACCTTAGATTACAGTGTTACAGTACATGTAGTGAAACAAAAGACAGACCTTAGATTACAGTGTTACAGTACACGTAGTGAAACAAAAGACAGACCTTAGCTTACAGTGTTACAGTACATGTAGTGAAACAAAAGACAGACCTTAGATTACAGTGTTACAGTACACATACTGAGACTAAAAAAGAGACCTTAGCTACAGTGTTACAGTACACATACTGAGACTTAAAACAGACCTTAGCTTACAGTGTTACGGTACACATAGTGAGACTAAAAAAGAGACCTTAGCTTACAGTGTTACAGTACATATAGTGAGACTAAAAACAGACCTTAGCTTACAGTGTTACAGTACACATAATGAGACTAAAAACAGACCTTAGCTTACAGTGTTAATACCTTAACTTACAGTGTTACAGTACACATAGTGAGACTTAAAACAGACCTTAGCTTACAGTACACAAGACAAACCTTACCTGACAGGCTTCACAATACTTTCCTTGCTCCCAACCGCAGTCACTTCCACATCGTCCATAAAATGGTGGGTATCCACATAACAAGATATACCTAGGTGTAAGATCATAAATCTGTCAGATTCTCTAGTTCAAGCCATTTAATGACAGCTAACACCAATCAATGAAAGTTTGGATATCTGTATATTGAAAATAAGTTAATTCAGTAGCCATCTGTATCATAATTTAATAGACTTACATGATTACACCTAGGCTCCACATATCACATCGTTTGTCATAAGGAGTAGCCTCTCCATTAAAAACCTCCACCACTTCTGGAGCCATAAACTCTATTGACCCCACAGGTGTCAGCAGCTCTGGGGTACTAACAGGTGTCCTGCTGCCCAAAACAATCCCACTGCCAAGGTCAAAGTCACAAATCTTCACTGGACAAACCTTAGGTAAAGATAACGACCACTAAACAATGATCAATGTCACAAATCTACACTGTAGATACCTTATGAAAAGATAATGATCACCAAATGATTAAGAGATGCGAAAGTTAGGCTTAAGTTGGGAATATCTTATTTTGTGAGAGAACAAGGTTGAACAAACTTATACAAAAAAAGAGTGATCTAGCTCTCATTTAAAAAGTAATAAACACTTAAAACAGTGATCTAGCTCTCATTTGAAAAGTAATAAACACTTAAAACAGTGATCTAGCTCTCATTTGAAAAGTAATAAACACTTAAAACAGTGATCTAGCTCTCATTTAAAAAATAATAAACACTTGAAATAGTGATCTAGCTATAATTTAAAAAGTAATAAACATTTAAAACAGTGATCTAGCTCTCATGTAAAAAGTAATAAACACTTAAAACAGTGATCTAGCTCTCATTTAAAAAGTAATAAACACTTAAAACAGTGATTTAGCTCTCATTTAAAAAGTAATAAATACTTAAAACAGTGATCTAGCTCTCATTTAAAAAGTAATAAACACTTAAGATAGTGATCTAGCTCTCTTTTAAAAAGTAATAAACACTTGAAATAGTGATCCAGCTATCATTTAAAAAGTAATAAACACTTGATATATTGATCTAGCTCTCATTTAAAAAGTAATAAACACTTAACATAGTGAACTACCTCTCATTTAAAAGTAATAAACACTTAAAACAGTGATCTAGCTCTCATTTAAAAAATAATAAACACTTAAAATAGTGATCTAGCTATCATTTACAAAGTAAAAAACACTTAAAATAATGATCTAGCTTACACTTAAAATAGTGATCTAGCTGTCATTTAAAAAGTAAAAAATACTTTAAACAGTGAAGTAGCTCTCTTTTAAAAGTAATGAACACTTAAAACAGTGAACTAGTTGTCTTTTAAAAGTAATAAACACTTAAGATAGTGATCTAGGTCTCTTTCATAAAATAAAAACACTTAACGTAATGGTATATTTTTTAGAAAGTAAACAAACTTAAAATATTGCCCTGTGTTTAACAAAGTAACCATGCATAAAATAGTTATGTCTGTTTAACTAAGTACACACACTTAAAATAGTAATGGCTATTTTATAAAGTAAACATTTAAAAGTACCAAAGTTGAGTGTGTTATAATGAAATGATTTAAGATCCCCACCATGTCATTACCATATCTGGTCATGCTTTTTGACAACAGACCTTTAGCTAAATTTCCATTACAAAAGGCTTTATTTTCATGTCCAAAGCTCAACCCTCCTACCTGCAGAATTTCTATAAGTCATTCTAATCCTGTTACGTTTCATGCCACGTTTCTCACTTATTTCTTTTTCTCATTTTCTGTAGCTTGTCTGTGCTACTTATACCATTCACTCCTTTCTAACTTACTCTTAATTCATTTTGAATATTTTTATTATTTCTTCTACGTAATTTTCATCAATGTAAATATTATAGTTCTTTGAGTTTCATCATTTGTCTCAACAAATGCTCCTCTTCTTTCCAATATTAAATTTTTACTACAATTGGTCTGATATTTCATTTGTCCTATACTATGTACAAATTCTATGTTCAGTGTCTCCCAGCACTTCTCTACAGTATACTGTACTATTATTCTCCTTGGTTTCTTTTTCATTTTCTTCTAAACCTTTGTTTATTATATTTTCCTCCCATATTTATTCTAGATCTATTATTCTATTTTTGCAATTTTTCTTGTTTAAATTGTAATTTATTTATTTCTTCCTTACACTTCTTAATTTTATCTAGAACTTCTAAAACATTTTGTTTAATTCTTCCATGAAGTATTTCATGTGCTTCAGATAAAAACTTCTAAAACATTTTGTTTAATTCCTCCATGAAGTATTTCATGTGCTTCAGATAAAAACTTCTAAAACATTTTGTTTAATTCCTCCATGAAGTATTTCATGTGCTTCTGATAAAAACTTCTAAAACATTTTGTTTAATTCCTCCATGAAGTATTTCATGTGCTTCAGATAAAAACTTCTAAAACATTTTGTTGTATCTTTTAATTCCTCCAAGTATTTCATGTGCTTCAGATAAAAACTTCTAAAACATTTTGTTTATTTCCTCCATGACGTATTTCATGTGCTTCAAACAATATTTCATTTGAACCATAACATCTTCTTCTTCTCCATTACTTTCTTCCATTTCATATTTATTTCTTTTGTGATAGATGATATAGATAATGTATTCAAGGGTTCAAAAGAAACCTCAATACTATCAATATTAACCAGAAACTTTTCTATGTCATTCATATTATTTGATTTTCAATGTTCTCCTATTCTAATCAATGGCTTATCCTTCCCCTATAATACACATATTTCAAATATTATCACAACTTCTTGTATTCAAAATTTATCATTATATTCTAAAGTGTAATATTCTTTACACAGCTTGTTTATTAAATATCTTCCTTAATTTATAAGCACCTTCCCACAACATAGAAAATAATGTATCTGTAGCAGAAAGTATACACAGGCATTGGCTACCTTCAATTAAACATGAAATGTTCAGAAAATAATACATCTGTAAGAGAAAGTATACACGGGCATTGGCTACCTTCTATTAAACATAAAATGTTCAGAAAATAATACATCTGTAACAGAAAGTATACACAAACATTGGCTACCTTCAATTAAACATAAAATAATACATCTGTAATAGAAAGTATACACAAACATTGGCTACCTTCAATTAAAACGTAAAATGTTCAGAAAATAATACATCTGTAACAGAAAGTATACACAAACATTGGCTACCTTCAATTAAAATGTAAAATGTTCAGAAAATAATACATCTGTAAGAGAAAGTATACACAAACATTGGCTACCTTCAATTAAAATGTAAAATGTTCAGAAAATAATACATCTGTTACAGAATGTATACACAAACATTGGCTACCTTCAATTAAAACGTAAAATGTATGGAAAATATTATTTCTGTAAAATATATTATACACGTACATAGGCTGTAATGTTTATATATCTTAAGGGTATTTTAGGTGAAATATTTACTGCTCAAAGATGCATGTAAAGCAATTAATAGTATGTCTAAGTATAAGAGTACTGCTTGTAACTTTTCTAGAAGTCTTACTCAAGACACTATTCATATATCATAAATAGTATTCTCATAAAATGTCTTTCCCCACATTCTTTAAGAATTCTTTGAAATTACTTTTATTCTGTAATTTGTTGATTAGACATGAGTTCACAAGAACATGTTTTATACTATTAAATACTGTGATTGAAGAAAAAGATATTGATGTTGTGATAATAAAATCACATCATTTAAACAGTGTATTGCAGCTAACAATAGGGCTAATAGGATTTTGGATAGCATCTACAAGAACATTGAACACAAGACAAGGGATATTATTGTTTCACTGCATGGATCACTTACAAGGCCTCATTTAGAGTACTGTGTACAGTTTTGGGCTCCCTTCCTCAAGAAGGACATTGAATTGTTAGAGAAGGTTCAGAGGAGATAATAGGATTGTCCTCTGAGGAGAAACTAAAATCTCTAAACTTGTTTTCTCTGGAGAGGAGAAGGGTCAGAGAGGATTTGATTGAGGTGTTTAAGAGTATTAATAATACAGATCCATCAAACTTTTTGTGTTTAGCAGTGAAAACAATATGATTATAGTTGGGAGTTGGAAAGGACATCCTTGATGGGCTAATAAGTTCCTTTTTGTCCCTCTAAAGTTTTATGAATTTATTCTTATGATAAACACATGAAAACACTTTATAAAGTACAACTACAGAACAGTAAGGAACAAGCAGACCTTCATACCTCATCTTCACTGTAACATAACAAGTTCTCAGGCTTAAGGTCTCGATGTGCAATACCTGAAACAATTATATAACTTTAATATTGTTATAAGCTATATTTATGATGATCTAATTTATTTAATTAAGATCCTAGTTAGAGGATACATAACATTAAGACTGAGTGAGTCCTAGATTGTAGAATATAAACATACAAAATTCCATGAAGTATCAAGAGGTTAGGTAGAGAGTTAGTAGGTAGAGTTAGTGAATTAGTCATTGTGTTTGGTTCTGGCCTTATTGAGTTACTCTGTACAATTCCATGAAGTATCAAGAGGTTAGGTAGAGAGTTAGTAGGTAGAGTTAGTGAATTAGTCACTGTGTTTGGTTCTGGCCTTATTGAGTTACTCTGTACAATTCCATGAAGTATCAAGAGGTTAGGTAGAG